CCCTGCTGCAAACGTTGCTCTTCACGCCGGAGTTCAGAGGTAAGAGCGCAGCTCAAAATTAAGTTGTTTTCACGGTCAGCGACTTTGGTGTCGCAGGAGTCAATTGATGTCTCCGTTGACGGTGTGAGATGCACACAAACTCATTGGCAGTTTGTGCTGACCTCTTCACAGCAAAGATGTTAGAGTCGCAGCAGCTTAATAGAAGCTGTCTGTGATGTGACTTTTCCTCAGTCACGGAGTATTTTTTCAGAGGATTCGGCAAGCTCTTGCTGTGTCGTTTACTGTCATGATCAGCCGTTTGTTTCTGCGCTCCTTCACGCAGAGGAGTTGTTCACTTTGGGACCAGAGGAGCTGGGCTGTCTGGCGGACAAGGACAAACCAGAGGCCAAGGTAAGCACAGACAACTTCTCCACCTGCTACGTTTGCATATGGGACTACAGAGGGAACACACTGGAGGTACTGTTTGTGTAAATGGCAATGTCGTGGACGGCGCCAAGCCTGTGTTTGCTTGTCCGAAGGTTCGAGTGATCCCTCTTGAGCTCCAGATGCTGTTCACACACCTGCTGCTGGTGGACCAGCAGACTGCCTCCACGGCTGATCTGACCGAGAGTTTCGGCTGGACCAGCAGCGAGGTAACCCCCCTTTTTCCGTTCCTGCTCTTTGACACTTAAGCAGGCTCTGTGAGATGCTGCTCCGTGCGTCCTACAGAGTAGCTGTTGCCATCAGTGCTGCAGTGGTGTGATTCCAAAGGTTCTGCATCTGGGCTGTCAAAACCAGAATCTGGGGGTTCTTTAATTCTGTTACTGCTGGGTCATTCACTCAGTTTGAAACTCTTTAACAAAATCGAACATTGTAGCTGTAGATTGCACATTTGCCATATACTGAAATTCATGATTTTATGCATTGGATTCTGGGAAATGCAGCATAGTAGATATGTACAGGTTATTAACTAATTGGACCAATTAATCATAATTGAGTAATTGGGTGGGAAAATAACCAGCACACACATGCCTCCACGGACTCTGACAGTCTCATGCCCTTGTTGCATGTCATGACGAACATGTTGTGTGATGGTGAACATGTGTGCTAATGCAGAAACAGAGGGTTTCGTATCATGTTACTTATGGCGTTATGCTGAAGGTGTGGGACGATTCTGAAAGTGCATGTCTTGTGTTGTGGTCAAGGTGTTACTCTGGTTGTGACAGTGGAGGTATTGTTTAAGGTGTCTCTGGATGTGGCAGAGATTGTGCTGTGTTGTGGTGAGCCGGGGGTGTGTTCACTGGGATGTGACAATAGAGGTGTTGCGTTAGAGTCACCCGGGATTTGATGTCCACCCCAGGAGAGCAGCCAGCAGGATGTGCAGGAGTTGAACCGTATCCTGTTCAGCGCGCTGGAGAGCTCGCTGGTGGGCACCTCGGGCAGCAGCCTCATCCACCGCCTCTACCACGGCACCGTCGCCAACCAGATCGTCTGCAGGGACTGCGGGAACGTCAGCGAGAGGCTGGTGGGTCCGCGCCGGGCTCCGCTCTTTCACGTTAGACCTTGCCTGTAGATGACCTCACGCCGAGCCGTGTGTGATGTAACGCCTGCATAACTGTGGCTCTCTTCACCAGGAGGACTTCCTGGACCTGACGGTGTCTGTGAGGGGCGTGTGCGGCCTGGAGGAGGCGCTGTGGAACATGTTCGTGGAGGAGGAGGTGTTCGAGGGAAACAACCTGTACCGCTGTGGCCGCTGCAGCCGCCTCGTCACGGCCGCCAAGGTCTGTCGCCACTCCGGGCCCTTTCGTTTGGAGCTTAAGTGCATCACATGCACTGCGGGTCAAATGGATCGGACTCCAGCCTGGCCTGGGTGTTATGATAACTCAAGCAGACGCCTCAGTCTTTGTGCAGTTATTTATTGGTGTTCTCTGGCTGTTGCATTTCAGTCAGCCAAACTGAGGAAGCTGCCCCCATTTCTGACGGTGTCCTTGCTGAGGTTCAACTTTGACTTCGCCAAGTGCGAGCGCTACAAAGAGACTGGCCGCTACACCTTCCCCCTCACCATCAACCTCAGGCCCTTCTGTGAGCAGGTAGCACACCCCTCTGACTTGAGCTGCAAACCAGACCTTGCCCCTCTCCAGTTATGCTGAATACATGACCTCTATTCTTTTAACACTGCTGTTTGTGTGAGGTTTTTCATCTGTGTGTGTGTGTGCTGCTGTGCTTGTGTCAGTGCCTGCCTGTGCGTATGCGTGTGCGTATGCGTGTGCGTGTGCGTGTGCGCGTGTGTGTGTGTGTGTGTGTGTGTGTGTGTGTTAGTGGGGCAGCAGTGTATCATAGTGGTAAGGAGCAGGGCTCATCATTGAAAGGTTGCTGGGTCCATTCCCCACTGGAGCACTGCTGCTGTACTCTTGGGCAGAGCACTTAACCCAGAACTGTCTCAGTAAATATCTAGCTGTATAAATGAATAACATGTAAAAAACTGTAACCTATAGAAATCGCACCTGGATAAGGGCGACTGCTAAATGACAATAATGTAATGTAGCGACTGGGTTCCATTCGGATGTTGACTCCGTTTATACTCTGTGATGTTGTCCTTGCGCAGGCAGAGAGGCCAGACTCAGATTTCACCTACGAGCTCTTCTCTGTCATCATACACAAGGGCGGCTGCTATGGAGGCCACTACCATGTCTACATCAAGGACATTGACGAGCTTGGCCACTGGGAGGTGCTGGTGAGAATACGGGGGGCAAAGGGCCCCCCGTTTCATTTTAGACTGACAGTACTTGCTGATCTCAGCAGCTGACAATAGAAGTGGCATACAGTGGGAGTACAAAGTATTGACCCCTCCCCCTTGGACTTTTACCACATTTGGTTGTGTTACAGCCTGAAGCTGTACTGCGTTTGAGTGGATTTTTCCTATAATAAACAAAACATATGCCACACTTTGATTGGGGAGAATCATTTTAATTGTGAAAGAAAATTTGATGAAAAAGAGAAAATGGAAAAATCCAGCTTGGATATGTATTTGCCCCCAAGTTATTTAGCATTTAATATTTAGTCCCTGTTGATAGAAGTAATCCCCTGTACAGGCTTTGTCTGAAGTTTCCTTGTATTGAATGAAAATGTAACGTTTCATTTACTTCTTGTGAGTGAACTGTTGTGTTTCTCCAGGATGAGGAATCCAAGCCCAAACCGCAGAAGAAGGAGGTGAAGATTGCCGAACCGGTGCTGGAGAAGGAGGACCCGCTGTCAGTACTCGTAGCCATACTGTCTCAGGTACAGCTCACCTCCGAGAGCGCACGTCTGCAACTCCGTCTGAGAAATACCCTGTCTCCCGATGTTCGCCTGGGGTAAAGATCACTGCTCTTCTCCAAACAGGAAGAATCAAAGAGTGTCCTCGTGGACCAGCTGGGCCAGAAGCTGCTGGACAGAATAGGCATTTCTTGGAACAGGAAGTTCCGCAAGCTGTACGGACCGATAGGGAAGGTTTGTCTCTGTCCAGCTTCTCTGCTTTGGTCGGTGCCCTTGCAGGCATGTTTTGTGCCAGTGAAAATCGGATCGATAAAATGTTCACTCCCTGCCCTCAGTTTCTGCAGAACCACTCGGACGTTTTCATGCTGGTGTCCAACGGCACACGGGTCACTCTCAAGGCCGCCACTCCAGTCCCGGAGCCACAGCCCAGTCCGACGTCCCCCAGCGCCGACCCGGAGAGCCCGGCGGTCAGCGAAGACTCGGAACCGCGGTCCGGGCACGGCCACCACTGGTTCGACCTGAACGACTCCACGGTGATACCCATCCGCGAGAAGGACATCGAGAAGCAGTTTCAGGGCAAGGAGAGCGCCTACATGCTGTTCTACAGGAAGGCTGAGCTCCACAGGCCAGAGGAAGGTATGGCTGTAATCCAGCTGTGTGGATGGACAGACTGTGTGTGTGTGTGTGTGTGTGTGTGTGAGTAAAATGTTACAACAGATAAGGAGGTATGCTAAGAACATAGATTATTATTTACAGTCGCCCTGAGGTTCAGAAGTGGATGTACTAGGCCTCTGTGTGTCTGTTATTTGATATCCCTCACAGTGCTTAGTAAGGGTAGTAATGGAGATCAGACTCAGCCATCTCAATACTTTTATCTGCCTATAATGGACTGGTTTCCATCCTGCATCACTGCAGCAACACACCTAAAGAGCACAACACCCTGTTTCCTGCTGTGACACCTCACCAGTGTGACCTCATTGTGTGACATCACTTAGCGCCTTCACTTGTGTGAGCTCACCTGTGTGATGTCACATCCTGACTCACGCACTGTTTCTGTTTTGTCTGGCAGCTAAGCAGAACCCCAGTTACAGGGTTCCGCCACACCTGCTGCAGATGGCCCAGGAGGAGAACGCCAAGCTCCAGCAGAGACGGTAGGAGTGAATGTGGAAGGAAAAACCATTTCACATACCAGTGCAGACTCTCACTCACTCACTCACACACACACACACACACACACACACACACATGCACTCTGTCTCATGTATGCTCCAACTTCTGTACTCTCACATATATTCCAACTGCAGGGCCTTTTGGTATTGCTGTGCTGGTGAATTGTTTGTAACATTTTAAAGCCTGAGCAAAGAGCAGTGCCTGACTTATTGAACATTTGCGCAGGGAAGAGTTTGACGCCTCCAGCAACACCATCGAGCTGCGCCTGCACCTGGCCCCTCACTACCACATAGAGAACGGAGCCCTGCAGCCCGCTGGACCGTCCCAGGACGGCGTGATCACCATCACCTTCGACCGGCGGAAGACTGTGGGAGACCTCCGGCTGGCCATCTACCAGGTGACACCGTGCCTGCATTCCTTTCACCTTGCCCAAAACCTGACTGCCTCACACTCGTTATTACATTACATTGTTGGCATTTAGCAGGCACTCTTATCCAGAGCTGCTTACATCAATTACAGGTTTTTGCAATGTTATCCATTTATACAGCTGGCTATTTGCTGAGGTAGTTGTGGGTTAAGTACCTTGCCCGAGGGTACAGCAATGGGGAATTGAACCAGCAACCTTTCGGATGTGAGTCCTGCTCCTTAACCACTGTGCTACACTGCCGCCCCACACTCTCTGTCTGGCAACCATGAGGATGGGGTCCAAGGGGGAATTCTATTGGGTGTTGGAAATTTAATCGAATTCTCCTGTGATGACTTGGATGAGAGCAGAACTGTGTGATATGAGAGCAGGGTGTAGCCATTGGCTCAGCTGAGATGATGTGCTGGCTGTATGTGAGTGTCTGACACATGGGGCATGTTGTGAGCTCTGGCCTCTTGTCGTGTGTGCAGATGCAGGATCTCTGGGAGGGGGATATGGCCCTGACGGTGGCCCGGAGCCTTCCGGCCGGCCTGCACCTCTACAACACTCTCTCAGGTGAGGCGCACACTGTAGGTCTCAACAATGTATACCATTCTCTCAGATGAGACAGGCACTGTAGATCTCTCTCTGTGGAACACAGTGTACAACACTCTCTCAGGTCACCGAGAAGATCATGTTCTCCTCTGTGTGAACACAGACATACTGTGTCAGTGTAGACGGCTGTGTTCTGTTGTGGCGTGTCCCCGGGTTAGAGTATCCCATGTTCCCTGTGTTTCAGACGATCAGCAGTCCCTGTACAGCGTTGGCCTGCGCGACGGCTCTGATCTCTTCGTGTGGAACGGCAGAGAGGTGAGCGCCAACTCCCAGCATGCCTCAGAGGAACGTGCACGTCTGCGCGGCAGCGAGCGTGCCTCTCTGACCCCTCCCTCGCCCCTCTCTGACCCCCCGCAGGTGCAGGGCGAGAACGTGCGGACGGGGGCGGAGTGGGAGCCCGTCCTGCTCACCCTGGTGCGGCCCTCCCTGGAGGAGGCGGACGGAGCGGGCGAGGCCGGTCCAAGCGGCGGTTCCGGCGGAGGAGGAGGAGGAGGGGCCGGCGCCGGCCTGACCCGGGTGGCGCGGGGCTTCGCGGGCGGGGCCACGCTGGCGTCAGTGCGGGAGGCCCTGGGGCCCCAGGACATGCTGCTGTGCCAGGAGAGCAGCCCGGGGGGCTGCAGCGGGGGCGGGGCCAGCGGCTGGAGGGTGTTCCCCACGGCCGACATGCACAGGACCCTGAAGGAGCTGGCCCTGAGGGACGGAGACGCCCTGCTGGTGCTGGAGCCCCAGGCCCTGGACACCAGGTGCGGCAGCCCGGAGAAAGGGATGAGAAATGCTTATTTCTGTTTATTACACTTTATTCATAGGGGAGAAAGGAGAAATGCATGTTTCAACCCAGCTTTCAGAGTGAGGTAGAGTAAGATAAAATCAGCCGTTGATGCTGTTATGATACTGTATAAAGACTCCCACCTTGACCTTTTTCACTAGGTGTTGAATAGACAGGATTATTAGGGAGTGGCAGTAATGGATGGATGCTGTCTGTTTTAGCCAGTCAGAACTGCTTATGAGACCTGGGTTATTGGGTACCTTAGAGCTGTTGACAGGAAATGGTTTCATACTGTGTTCGCATTTGTAATTATGTAATTTATAATTGTGCTTAACCTGACTTTTGGACTTATAAGTATTGCTTGAATAATGACTTTTAAGACCAAACCATAAAGTTGAGCAAATGTATGTTACTCAGGCTAACAATTTTCCAGATTTATATATGTTTTTAATTTTTTAACCCTCACATCAGTCATGTTTCTGGGGGTTAAGTGGTTACAGGGATAAGGTAAGAGATTAGGTGAATATTGCAAAGCGTAGAGAAAGGGATCTCAGGGTGGAAGCTCTGTTATGACGTCCAGCCATTGTCAGTGGCTTTTTTTCTCTTCTGTCTTCTGTCTGGTTTAAAATGGGTGTTTCTCTCCTTTTAGTAGTCGTGTCGCATTGATCAGCCAGTCCTGCGGGCCCACTTACGCGCCTGACAGCTGTTTATGCACGCTCTGCGAATCGCAGTAATTAGAGCGCACCGATGCTGTCTGGGTGACGGGCGAACGTGCCAGCCTATGACATGTGGCCTCTCTGTCTTTCTCCACAGCCTCATCAACCGTAGCGGGGACATCGTCACCGTGACAACCCCTTCCGACTGCCGCTGGCTGCAGGTGGAGTTCTGCCCCCGGGGAGGAAGAGGAGCGGAGGAGGGAGAGGAGGAGGATGAAGGGGAGAGGAGGAGGGGAAAGGTCCCTGCCTCTGGGAACATGGTGAGGCGGGCAGCTTCTCTCTGCTCTCCTCTCTCTCACAGGGCAGAGCTGTTGGGCCCTGAATCAAAGTGTCAGCCAGCGCTCTTGTAGTGGCCAGCAAAACTGCTTGTAAATGGGCAATACTTCAAAGCAGGTGCTGTCCACGTCTACTGATCGTTACATTATATGGCTGCATCAGTATAATTATCGATGTCTGTTCTAAGCCAGTCCTTATGACGTAATGATCACTGGATTTGTGCCCGTTCTGCAGTAATGGCCGTGAGCAAACGGGAAAGGGACGTGCATATGTACATGCTTGTTCGTGCGCACATGCTGTGTGTGCGTTTTTTGTGTGTGTGTGTGCGTGTGTATGGCAGACTGTATGCCTGCAGATTGGTGACAGGGTGTGGTTCCTGTGTCTTCTCTCCAGCTGCTGTCCGAGGTTAAGCAGACAGCTATTGAAGTGCTGCAGCTTCAGGACCAGCTCAAAGGTGAGGCCTGGGTGACCGGTCACTGTGTTCTCTCTCTTTCTCTTTGAAGTGCTGTATCATCACTGTGCTGGGTCATGAGATGGCAGGTCAGATTTCCAGGCTATCAGGGCAGTTATATTTTGGTGTTTCTAATGTCCGTGTGTATCTGTGTGTGTGCATGTCTGTGCACGTGTGTTTGTGTATCTGGGTGGTGTGTGTGTGTGTGTGTGTGTGTGTGTGTGTGTGTGTGTGTGTGTGTGTGTGTGTGTCTCTGTCACATTGCTCATTAGCGGCTTTGCATTCCCTTGCAGGTGTGACGTGTTGTCTGAGGCAGGTGGATAGCACTGGCAAACTCCTGCCCCCAGGTACACCACTACCCAGTAACCCCTCTCTCAGGTCATGCTCGGCCACTCAGTAACTCTGCTATAACAGTCAGTATTCTCTTTTGTCCTTGTAGCTAGATCACTGTCTGTAATCCCTCAATTACAGAGTCACACTTAATCAGTCAGCAACTTCTCTATCATAGTCAGTAACCCCTGACTGCTGGATTAATTGATAACTCCTCTATCACATTCAGTAATCCCTCCGTCAGTCTAGATCGCAGTCAGTAATCCCCGTCACAGAGTCACGCTTGATCTGTCAGTAACCTCTGTAACGGTACTCATTACATTACATCATTGGCATTTAGCAGACGCTCTTATCCAGAGCGATTTACATCGTTTTTTTTTACAATGTTATCCATTTATACAGCTGGATATTTTCTGAGGTAAAATACCTTGCTCAAGGGTACAACAGCAGTGCCCCAGCGGGGAATCGAACCGGCAACCTTTTGGTTATGAGTGCTGCTCCTTAACTGCTACGCTACACTGCCGCCTAGTACTCGGTTCTCTGTGTTTCCCTCCACAGTGCGTGAGAATATGACCGTGCGTGAGGCTGGGGTGAAGCTCATGACCTCTCTGTCCCTCTGTCTCGGAGCTGCTCCAGGACCGACGCAAGTGAGTGCCACCTGGCTCAGAGCTCAGAATAATTTTATCATCATTACTGTGAATGGATAAACTCCTATCAAGAACATTACATTAAGTAGTTAGCCTTAGCGACACTGTTACCCAGATAACTCTGAGTAATAGTGTCTCTAAGGCTATCATAGCTTATATTTTTTACATAATGAGTTTATACAGATGGATATTGTACTGAAGTGATTCAGTTTAGGCAAGGGTACAACAGCTGTGCCATACTTAAGATTTGAACTGGCAACCTGCTGGTTATAAATCGGGCTGCCATAACCGCTGGGCCGCCTGTGGACAGCTCCCCAGCGAGGGTGGGAGTGACCACAGTCACATGTGTACACTTTCTACTGTGCTGATTACTCTCTCTCTGTCTTTTGCTCTCTGTCTCTCCACCCCCTTCCCCCTTGCCTGTCTGTGTGGCAGCTGTTCCTCTACTTCAGCGTGGGCTCGGACCCGGCTGCTGCCGGAGAGAGGGAGCTCATTGTGGAGGAGACTCTCACTGTGAAGGAGGTGGGCGGCAACACAAGCAGGCTCCTCCCTCACAGAACTGTGCTTCGTGCGTCTGTGTGTGCGTGTCTGTGTGTGTGCGTGCATCTGTGTGTGAGAGAAAGAGGGAGAGAGAGAATGTGTTTTTTGTGTGGGGCCCATAAAACAAAAACATGCAGCTTATGTCATTAATTTGATTAGACTGTGCCCTTATCCAGGCTACCTTGTAGCCTTCCACTTGTCCCCCATTCATGTAGGAGGACCCTTGACTGCAGTTACTTAGGCTGTATACCTTACTCAAGTGTACAGCAGGTGTTCCCCGTTTGGGATATGACCCTGCACCCCTTTGGTTTGAAACCTATTTCCTCAGCTGTGCCATGCTGCCACCATGTGTAATATGAGAAACAAAAATGCTCCTAACCGAGTGTTGTGTGGAAACACGTGGCTCTGAATTCAATGTGAGCAGTACACACCTGTGCAAGCAACTATACTGAGAGGAATATTTCCTTCTCTTCTTGCAGTGTTTGATGCAGATCATAAACGTGGCTGGACTGGAAGGTGAGAATCAGTGCTTGTTTCTTTACCTGTGCATCCTTTCCCATTGCCACTTGATTTGTAAAACTCTTGATTTGTTGTGATGATGATTTGACTGGCGCGTCCCTCTCTCCAGGTGACTCCTGGCACCTGAGGAAGATGGACTGGTGTGAGGAAGTAGGAGACGCCCTCACAGACGAGGTGAGAGCCCTGAACGTCACTCGCACGCAAGCTGTGGATTCAACTGCTTTCGGGTTTAAATTGAAACCTTTTTAATACCTTTCTATTCAGTCTTGGCATGTGAATTGATGTGTTGCATGCATTTAAAAGTGGGGGAAGGCAAACACGTTTGGGTCATTCTGGCTGTTTTTGTCTCACTCGTTACTGTTTTGTTCTCTCAGGATGCCACCCTGGCTGAGATGAAGATTCAC